AAAAAAAAAAAAAAGATGTGGGGTACAATTCAGGATTAGATATACAAGTAGTCATCATACAGACAAAGTTTGGGCCACACTTTGGTCCCCACTTTGCCATTTTTAGATCAGATATGCTTATTGATGTTCACCCCTCACCTCAACCCCAGAAGTATCCCACCACTGCTAATCTTTTCTTATAGTATTATGGTAAATGTTCAGGGTTCACTTATGAGTGAAAACATGTGGTACTCTGTTCTTTGTTTCTGTGAAGATTACTGAGTATGATAGACTCTAAATCCATCCAAGTTGCTGTGAAGTCCATATGTTGGTCCTTCTTTATGGCTGCATAATATTCCATTGTGTATATGTACCACATTTAAAAAATCCAATCCAGTTTTGATGGGCAGCATAATTGGCTCCATGTTTTTTTGTTTTGTTTTGTTTTATTTTGAGTTGGAGTGCCACTCTGCTGCCCGGGCTGGAGTGTAGTGGTACGCTCACGGCCACTGCAGCCTTGACCTCCTGGACTCAGGTGATCCTTCTGCTTCAGCCTTCCAAGTAACTGGAACTACAGGCATATGCCACCATGTCTGGTTATTTTTGTATTTATTGTAGAGACGAGGTCTCACTAAGTTGCCCAGGCTGGTCTCAAACCCCTGGTCTCAGGCAATCCTCTCGCCTCAGACTCCCAAAGTGGTGGGAGTACAGGATTGAGACACTATGCCCATGTTTTTGATACTGTGAATAGTGCTGCAGTAAACATGCATGTGCAAGTATATTTTTTTGTAGAATGCTTTGAGTTCCTCCAGGTATATATCCAGTAAGGGGATTGCTGGGTCATATGGAAGGTCGATTTCTAGGTCTTTTAGAAATCGCCACACAGTTTTTCAGAGTTTGCACTAGTTTGCATTCCCACCAGCAGTATAGAAGTGTTCCTTTTTCTCTGCATGCTCACCAGCATCTTTTGTTGTTTGTTTTTTTGATAATGGTCATTCTTACTGGGGTTAGGTGGTATCTCAATGTGGTTTTGATATGTATTTCTCTGATGATGAGTAAGGCTGAGCACTTTTCATGTTTCAAACCATCCTTTACTGGCATTAAATTTTCTACGTTTAGATACTTTATCTTCCTTTTGTTTTAAGTTGTCATATGACTTTGCTTTTTTGGAATATTAGAGTCTAAAGATATGCCTTTCTTATGAGCAGTCTTGAATCCACATAAAAACTGCATTTTTCAGACTGGGCATGGTGGCTCATACATGTAATCTCAGCACTTTGGGAGGCTGAGGCAGGACATTGCTCGAGCCCAGGAGTTCAGGACCAGCCTTGGCAACATAGCGAGATATCATCTCTACAAAAAAATTGAGAAGTTAGCTGGGTGTGGTGGTGCATGCCTGAAGTACCAGCTAGTCAGGAGACTAAGACAGGAGGATCACTTGAGGCCAGTGATTTGAGGCTGTGGTGAACTATGATTATGCCATTGCACACCAGCCCGGCTGACAGAGCGAGACTCTGGCTCCAAAAACAAAACAAGAAAACTACATTTCAGTACAAGATAAAAAGGCATTTTGTAAAAAGTGCAAAGTGTTCATAACTGCTGTCATAGCTGCACGGATGGCTTTACAGATTTCCTTTTTCTTTTTTTTTTTTGAGTTGGAGTCTCCCTCTGTCACCTACGCTGGAGTGCAGTGGCATGCTCACAGCTACCGCGGCCTTAGTCTGCTAGGCTCAGGCAATCCTTTTGCCTCAGCCTTCCAAGTAGCTGGGGTGTACCATCCCGCCTGGCTAATTTTTTGGTTAATTGTAGAGACGAGGTATCACCAAGTTGCCCAGGCTGGTTTCGAGCTCCTGGGCTCAGGTAATCCTCTCATCTCTGCCTCCCAAAGTGCTGGGATTACAGTCAATAGCCACCACGCTCAGCATTTTCCTTTTTTTTTTTTTTTATAGTGGTCCTTACACTGAATTCATTTTTCTTAAAATGGCAGGCAGCAGAAGCTGCTGACCTCAATCTGTGGTATATATCAGCAATTCAACTTTTTCTTCTAATGTGACTTTTTCTGTTTCTTGGGAGCACTCCTAGCATCACCAGTGGCACTTTATATGGGTCCTATGGTGTTATTCAGAGTTTCAGGTATTGCACTGAACACGATGAAAAATATGTGAAAATCACAGCAGAGCACTTTTTATTGTGATATGAAATTTACTGGAAAGAAGAACTCATGCAAAGATGATTAATGCCACATGGTGTTTTAGCTGGATACAACCCTAGAGCTCACTGCAATAGCAACAGTGGCTTCAAAATTACAGTAGTATAACATCACTGCACTTAAGTTTATGCAGTTATGATTCAGTTCTGCATTTTTTTTTTTGAGTTGGAGTCTCACTCTGTTGCCCAGGTGGCATGCTCCCGGCCACTGCAGCCTCAACCTGCTGGGTTCAGGCGATCCTTCTGCCTCAGCTTTCCAAGTAGCTGAAACTACAGGCATGCGTCACCACACCCAGCTAGTTTTTAGATTTATTGTTGAGATGGGGTCTCACCAAGTCGCCTGGTGTTGAGCCCATGGGCTCAGGCAATCCTCTCACCTCAGCCTCCCAAAATGCTGGGTTTATAGGTGTGAGCCACTGTACCCGGCCTAATTTTTTTTTTAAATTTATTGTAGAGAGGCAGTCTCCCCAAGTTGCCCGGGCTGGTCTCAAACTCGTGAGCTCAGGCAATCCACTTGCCTCGGCCTCCCAAAGTGCTGAGATTACACGCTGAGCCACTGAGTCCAGCCAGGTCAGAGCATCTTAAAGAGAGCTCTAAAGTAACCCTTATCCCACAAAAAGTACCCATCCTGCCCCGAATATAGAAGGTAAAGCAGATATGATTCTGGGAGTCAGTTAATATATAGTATTTCTTGGTTGAAGCTATATGTTTGCTTGGATGTTTATTTTGAGTAAATAAAAACAAAGGAGTTACTTCTTTGTCTTTTCTTGTACACAGAAATTGGCATACCTCCTTTTGTTTTGTTTTGTTTGAGTTGGAGTCTCACTCTGTCACCCAGGCTGGAGTGCAGTGGCACGCTCACGGCCACCACAGCCTCGACCTGCTGGGCTCAGGTGATTCTTCCACCTCAGCCTTCTAAGTAGCTGGAACTACAGGCATGAGCCATCATGCCTAACTAATTTTTTGATTTATTGTAGAGATGAGGTCTCACCAAGTTGCCCAGGCTGGTCTCGATCCCCTGAGCTCAGGCAGTTTTCTCACCTCAGCCTCCCAAAGTGCTGGGATTATAGGCATGAGTCACCATACTGACTGTATTTGCTTTTTTCCTGCTCTTATAATTATTAATATATCTAGGGAGATTATGGACAAGTTATTCTCTTTCTCCCTTCTGTGTAAGCAATATTAAAACAATGATTAATGCATTTGATTGATTGCAGAGGCTATACTATGTTTTCTTTTGATAAACAAAAATATTGGTATGATGAAGCATGCCTGTATTACTGGTTTCATCCACGGAGAAGCAAACTATCATCTCATGGCAAGCTTCTCAAGAGTTACAGAATGGAGCTACAGAACCAAAATTAACTACAGAGGTATGCAGTATGAATTGCATTTCAGCAGTGGCCCTAGCTTAGCTAATATACACTGAACTTGTCTTGGATTATAGATCTAGTCCCTTTTTTAATCCTTAAGTAAACCAAAAAAGTCATCTTACCACTTATTTGTCCTTTATTTTCCCACCATTGAAAGCTTACTTATTCTGCTTAATTTCTCTGAAACTTAATTTCTCCAGTATAGGCCAGGCTTGGTGGCTCAGCCTGTAATCCCAGCACTTTGGGAGGCCGAGGCGAGTGGTTTGCTTAAGCTTCACGGGTTCAAGACCAGCCCGAGCAACTTGGTGAGACCTCGTCTCTACAATAAATAAATAAATTAGCTGGGTGTGGTAGCATGTGCCTGTAGTTCTGGCTACTTGGAAGGCTGAGGAGGAAGGATCGCCAGAGCCCAGCAGGTCGACGCTGGGGTGGCGGTGAGTGTGCCATTGCACTCCAGCCTGTTTGACAGAGTGAGACTCCAATTCAAAAAATAAAAATAAAAATAAAAATTTCCCCAGTATAACCTAAGTGTGTCAGACTGTGTGAGTCCTTAACGTCCTTTCTGTTGATTGCATACTCTCTCTGGTGTTGTGTTTATAAGCTATGCATTTATAAACAAAAAAGCAGCAAGACCAAAGAAAGGAAGGCTCTGGATTATCAGTTCAAATAATCCAAACTGTGATTTACCAATTTAATTTCAGTGGCCAATATATATATATATTTTTGGTATTTCTGTGGGTTTAAGGTGGTGGTAGTTATATGGGTGAATATAAAATAGCTTTGTGGAGTTTTGTCTCTAAAAATTTGAAAACTTTGATTTGATTCCAGCCTGTTTGTAGTACTGCCTGTGGAATGTTCTCTGTGTTTACCAAGTGTTTGACTACTTCGTTGTGGTCTAAATGTATAAATGAGGTTAGGTATGAATATTGCTAACCTGACTTCTTGTTGCAGACAAAACTTACCTGGGGCCCCTACTTGTGGTTTTACATGCTTCGGGCTGCTACATCAACCCTCTCAGGTATTGCTTTTCTGTTTGAATATTGTATAATTGCTGTAATATGCTCCAGCAACAGGAGCTTTGCTATGAGATGTTTCCAAACAAAACGAGAAACAATAGGGAAATAATCGCTGTCCTTGGAAGCTAGCTAGTATTGAAAGGTATTAATCTAACTTACACTTCACCTTGAATGTCCTCAGCTTCCAATGTATTGATAAAGGAAAGGACTGAAAAATGACAATATTAGTTTAGATATGATTTTCCTGTTCTTAAACCTTTTCTATTAGCAGCTATTTTACTACTTTGTCATTTGGTTTCCTATTGGTATTGTTCTCCTTCTGTCTCACTGTTTATTCTAAAGCCTGTATTATATATAGTTCATTTATATTTTTATTTCATTTCTTAAATTGAGATATAACTAAGTCATTTGAAGGAAATAAATGATCAGTTTATGACTTAATGCTAGTTTTAAATATAGGTTTTAAATTATAAAGCTGTATTCTGCTTCCAGTTTTACTTTATTTTATTTTTTAGTTGGAGTCTCACTCTGTCACCCAGGCTGGAGTGCAGTGGCACACTCACGGCCACCGCATCCTCGATTTGCTGGGTTTAGGTGATCCTCCCATCCCAGACTTCCAAGTAGCTGGAATTACAGGCACGTGCAATCACGCCCGGCTAATTTTTTTGATTGATTGTAGAGATGAGGTCTCACCAAGTTGTCTCAGCTGGTCTTGAACCTTTGGGTTCAGGTAATCCTCTCTCCTCAGCCTCTCAAAGTGTTGGGATTACAGGATTGAACCATTGCACCCAGCCTCTGCTTCCAATTTTAACTCCCTCATAGCTTCTGTCACTTTTTGCTTTTTATTAGGGCTGTTGTGAGTAATAATTGATTCAACATTTACTGAGTGCTCACTATACTCTAGGTGGGCTAGTGTAATGGAACGAGCATGAGCTTTAGATTCAGATTGATATTTGAATTTTGAATCTGCTTTGTTAGTTTAAGCAAATTCTTTAACTTCTCTAAGCTTAAGCTTTCACAGTGCCTGGCACATGGTAGACACTCAGTGAGTATTATAGTAAAAGCATTCCCTCCTCCAGCCCAGTGATAACCCCTCTTCTGTGAGTGTACCTTTTTTTTTTATTAAAGAAATAGACATGTGGCCAGGTGCCGTGGCTCAGGCCTATAATCCCTGCGCTTTACAAGGCTGAGGTGAGGGGACTGCCTGAGCCCACGGGTTCAAGAACAGCCTGGGAAACTTGGCAAGCTCTCATCTCTACAATAAATAATAAATTAGCCAGGCATTGTATCTCGCACCTGTAGCTTCGGCTACTTGGAAGACTGAGGTGGAAGGATCGCCTAAGCCCAGCAAGTTGACAACCCAGCCTGAGTGACAGAGAGAGACTCCAACTAAAAAAAAAAAGAAGAAGAAGAAATAGACTTGTGTCAGATATACCTGGTGATAAGTGCTCTACTAGGGATAGGAACAGACTGTTGTTGGAGCTCAGAAGAATCTACTAATACTCCTTGGAAAAATCAGGGACGATATACAGAAGAGAGATATATTGGGTTTCTATAATCTTCTTGAGGGCAAAAACTGTAACTCTTGTATTCCTACTGTGTCTGACACTTAGAAAGTGCTCAATAAATGTTTAAGGAATTGTATAAGTCTTTTAACTTTTTTTATGTTTAGTGTGTGACTTTCTTGGAGAGAAGATTGCATCTATTTTGGGCATCAGCACCCCAAAGTACCAGTATGCCATTGATGAGTACTATCGGATGAAGAAGGAGGTGTGTCTCCTTTTTACTTTTCTTGGTTGAATTTGGTTTACTGTGGACTTGACGGGTTGCATAATGAGCATATATATTCTCTAGCTGCCTAAAAATAGCTCCCTTATGCTAGACATTTCATTCTAGAGTCATTAACCTCTTTGAGTCATTAATTTTAGAATTCTTTAAAACTGTAATTTTCCTAGGATCTAAGTGCAAAACTAAGCTAGATTTCATTGTGCTAGTGCTATATGTAAGGTGCCTTATATATATTATTTAATGCTCTCACACCTCTCTTTGGATTATTATTCTCATTTTAAGATGACGAAACAAGATTCAGTCTCTGTATTTAGGGCTCATGGACTGGGTGCAGGAGAAGTGGAGTAGGTTTGATGCAGAAAAGCATAAGTACAATATGGGCTTGTACCAGTTGTCAGTGCACAAAGATGTGAGTGCAGTTCTGTCTGAAGAAGGTGAGTCTTAAGGTGTGGGTGAAATGAATTAAAGAATGAAAAAACTTCAGTGCTTAAAAGTCAGGTCTCAAGAACCAAAAGGCCTTAATTAAAAATCTGCTTCTGCCACTTATAACTTTGTAACCTTGGGCAAGATACTTAACCTCAATGAGCCTCAATTTCCTTATTTTATAATGAGGAGAATTCCAGCATCCATGCTCAGGTTGCTCTATGGATTACATAAGTTAATATATACATTGTTTAGTATGGCACTAGTGTATATTGGTGAGCACACCATAAATATTAGAATCTCAAGCAAATTGAGGGCAGCAGTTTAGGTAAGACTAGAATATAGAGGCATGAAGGTATATTGTGTGTTTGGGGAGATGGCAAAAATAGTTCATCATCACTGGAGTATAGTGTACGATGTGGGTTGCTGGAGGTGAGTCTGGAAAGGTCAGCTGACTTTATATTTGTTATGTGGTTTCAAACGTGTTTTATGAACACGAGTTTTTTTTTTAACACTTCAAGTCTTGTTTAGAGTTTCATTACCTCATCTGGACTATTGTATTAGCCTCTTAAATGGTCTCTCTCTCTTGTTTATTCTCAAGCAAGCCCGAGATGAATCTTCTAGGCTTACTCACTCTGTACTGACTATTGTACTACAAGGTCCAGTATAAATGCTACCTCATCAATGAATTTAGTAGTTCTGACACTATAAATTACTCTTTCTAAATTTCTATAGTGTTTATTTATTTGTCTTAATACTATTTTTATATGTATGAAGTTTCCTACTAGATTGTAAACTTTTTGAGGGCAGAGAGTGTCTTATCTGTATATGCGTATTAAGTACTTACAGGAAAACTAACCATGCTATACTATTTAACTGAATAGGCTAGGCTGACACCCTACAATTGAAGTGATACAGTATTAGCTAATTTTTAATTTAGATTAGACTTAATCTGAAAAAAAAACATAACCCTTGTCGAAGTTAATTCAGGACTCATTTAAGCTAAGTAGTGCTGGGCCGTATTTGAAAAAATAACTTCACTTCCCTTAAAATATTTTACAGTAGTTATTTCTTCATTTTGAGAACAGGGAAAGGGACAGCATATCTTAATTAGACCAAACTGAATCTAACATAACACTAATGTTTGGTTTTTTTTAAAAAAAATGTTTGTAAGTTGATAGTGGGAGAAGTAGTATTATATCTTTTTGACATTTATATTTAAGCTATACTTGATTATTCACCCTCTGTAGGAAGAAGAAGAAGAAGAAGAAAACAGGATGTCTGAAGAAGCAGAAAGACAATACCAACAGAATAAACTGCAGACTGATTCCATTGTTCATACAGATCAGCCAGAAACAGTAGTATCCAGTTCATTTGTGAATGTCAATTTTGAAATGGAGGGAGACACTGAAGTAATTATTGAAAGCAAACAAAATTCAGTTTCTATCCCACCATAAAATGAGATGACTGTCAGACTTCAAACCCATACTAGGAACTTTCACATTCTGTATTCAGTGGGACTTAATACAGTTATTTATATTTTAAATTGTTATCTGAAAAGGGAAAACGTTTCTTCATACTTAGGCTATATCTAGCAAAAGCCAGATCTTGGTTGGGTGCAGTGACTCAAGTCTCAACACTTTGGGAACCCAAGGCAGGAGGATCACTTGAGGCTACCAGTTTGAGACCAGCTTGGGCAATTTAGCAAAACCCCATCTCTACAAAAACAAAACTAAGAATCAAAATTCAGACCTGAAACTTGGATATTGGTACTGTTTCTCTGTGTGCCAAATTAGTGCTTTGATCTTTGACTTTAGAATAATCTTTTTAAAAAAAATTAAGAACATCCTAGAGCCTTAATTGCCAATTACAAAGAGTTAAATTATCAAGCTTGCCTTTGTTATCTGTGCATTTGTTTAAAAAAAAAGGTTAAGGCTAATTAGAACTGATAATCCCACAGTCTCAAATTAAAATGAGGATTTTTTTCTCTTAGATTTTCTAATGTTATACCTTGCATTTATATATCTAACCATTAATTCACACAAAGGATGGTTTGCTGTATAATAAAGGGAGCAAGGCAGAAGCACTTTGAATTTTCTTTCATTGAGAATAACTATTTTATGGAAAAGTTTGAGTTTATAACACCAAATATTAAGATAGGTGTCCATTTTTAAATGCAAGTTACTTGGTCTTGTATTTTTTTCAGTTACTCAAATAACTAGCTTTGAACGTAATATTAAAGGTGCCAGTTATGCAATGAATTTATTAATGTATTTGTGCACAAGTGTACATGGCCTCCTGGTTATGACACTCATTTAGCCTTTAATGCTATAGATGGAGTAGTTTATGGGGGAGAGGAAACAGAAGAGATACATATTTAACACCATCAGGGGCTGTTAGATATTGTACAGGGTGCAGTGGTATCCTAATGAAGTTACCTAGCATTCACCATTTTAAAGTAGCAACAGTAAGATGGACAGTTTACTTGAACTAGGTTGGCTATTCTTCTACCTACTGTGTTATTTGCAAACCTTACAAAGGTATATAATATAAAGCTGATTTTGAAAATATTCCTAAATGTGTGTACAGAATCTTAAGATATACCTGTATAACTTTGATTTATATAAACATAAGTAAGGAAGAATGTGTAGAGTGTTTTAGAAATGTTGATCTTAAGTCTTTTCACAAACTTCAAAAGAGCTTTCAGAAATTAATAGTTAATAGCCTAAGTTCAACTAAAAGTTGAAGAATTTAGGAAGGATAATTAAACTTTTCATTAGGAGTCTTCAATTACATGGATTCATTATGGTGTTTCATAGTAAGTGATGGTCATCTTTTTATTCATGGGTATAAACACTATAAATTTTAGTGCTTAAAAGGATCAATCTTCAGATAAAATAAATTATAATTTACCAGTAGTTCTAAAACATGTTAACCTGACCTCTTGTAATTTGTTTTTAACTTCATTTGAGATAGTACCTCTCAGATATTTATCAAGTGAAGGTAGGTATTTCTAAAGGTGACCTTCTGAATCTTCTATCCTAGAGGCACGAGTATCTAAAAGAATTTACCTAGAAACTTTTCTGATTGTACTAGAAGGAATATAGTGACTTATGAAGGTTATATGTTTCTTGAATTTTATTTCTGATACTTGTCCAATAATGGCCAGTTTATAATGTTTATAAATACAGTTATTCACTGTGCCTTACATTTTTATAATTTTATTTATGCAAACTGTAAAATTTCCCATAAATGCATTAAATGGTTTGTCTTATTTTAAGCCTCTCACTTTTTCCTACTTCCTTTTCATTCCTTTTGAGAATTACTTTTTCTTCTGGATCATAGTTCATGATACTCTACCTTCTTCTAATCTTTTATCTCATGAAAATTAAATACAGCCGGGCTCAGTGGCTCAGCCTGTAATCCCGTGCTTTGGGAGGCCGAGGAGAGTGGATTGCCTGAGCCCGCAAGTTCAAGACTCGCCTGGGCAACTTGGTGAGACCTCATCTCTACAATAAATCAAAAAATCAGCCGGGCGTGGCATTGTGTGCCTGTAGTTCCAGCTACTTGGAAGGCTGAGGCGGAAGGATTGCTGGAGCCCAGCAGGCAGAGGCTGTGGTGGCCGGGAGCGGCCACCGCACTCCAGTCTGGATGACAGAGTGAGACTCCAACTCAAAAAAAAAAAAGAAAATTAAATACAACAGTTGGTATAATTGAAGAGCCTTTACACTGAATTAATAAATTCTCTAACAAAAATCCTTAACACAGTGAAGTTTTGTAAAATGTAACCCTGGTACAGGTTAATAAAATTAGACACGTTTTGGTCGGGCTCAGTGGCTCAGCCTATAATCCCAGCACTTTGGGAGGCCAAGGCAAGTGGATTGCCTGAGCCAAGGGTTCCAGACCAGCCTGGGCAACTTGGTGAGACCTCATCTCGACAATAAAAAAAAAAATTAGCCGGGCGTGGTATTGCACACCTGTAGTTCCAGTACTTGGAAGGCTGAGGCAGAAGGATTGCTGGAGCCCAGCGACTACAACTCAAAAAGACTAGACACATTTTTATAACAATGATTTTCATGAAAGTAAAATAGCCAGGCGCCTTTGGGAGACTGAGGCGAGAGGACTGCCTGAGCGCAAGGTTTTGAGACCAGCCTGGGCAGCTTGGTGAGACCTCATCTCTACAATGAGTCAGGAAAAATTAGCCTGGTACAGGCCTGTAGTTCCAGCTACTTGGAAGGCTGAGGCGGAAGGATCACCTGAACCCGGCAGGTCAAGCCTGTGGTGGCCATGAGCATGCCACTGCACTCCAGCCTGGATGATAGAGTGAGACTATGACTCAAAAAAAAAAAAAAAAAAAGTAAGTAAAATATTAGTTTGAATACTTTTATTTATTTATTTTTGAGTTGGAGTCTCACTTTGTCGTCCAGGCTGGAGTTCAGTGGCACGTTCACAGCCACAGCAGCCTGGACCTGCTGAGCTCAGGTGATCCTTCCGCCTCAGTCTTCCGAGTAGCTGCAACTACAGGCACACGCCCCAATGCCTGGCTAATGTTGTGATTTATTGTAGAGACGAGGTCTCGCCAAGTTGCCCAGGATGGTCTCAAACCCATTGGCTCAGGCAATTCTCTCTCCTTGGCCTCCCAAATTATATATAGAGGATTATGGGTGTGAGCCACCACACCCAACCTGAATACTTTTTTTTTTTTTTGAGTTGGAGTCTCACTCTGTTGCCCAGACTGGAGTGCAGTGGCCGTTCCCGGCCACTGTAGCCTTGACCCACTGGGTTCTGGCAAGCCTTCCGCCTGTCTTCCGAGTAGCCAGAATTACAGGCATGCGCCGCTATGCCCAGCTAATTTTTTGATTAATTGTAGAGATGAGGTCTCGCCAAGTTGCCCAGGTGGGTCTCGAACCTGCCGGCTCAGGCAATCCACTTACCTCAGCCTCCCAAAGCGCGGGATTACAGACTGAGCCACCAAGCACGGCTTACTTTTTATTAAAACATCCCTGTTAAAAGATCATGTCCAAATACTTCTAACCTAGAAATGAAATGGCTCTAATGAATAAGAAAGTCTATAGTCTTTGATATATATGTCTTAGAAAAGGACAGAAGGTTAAATGGCTACATTAATATTTTGAACTATTCCTCAAATATTCAAATTCTGAATAGTCCATGAAAACTTACTTTATTTCTGCAGATTATATGGATTTAAATTGAACACCTTCTACTTACAGTAAATCATACTTCCCATCTTTGAGCTAAATGGAACCAGAACTTAACACCACTAAAAAGCAATATTTTGTCTCATTACTCCCAAACTATTGGCAACCAAAATTCCAATAACCAAAACATTGGCTGTTTTCTCTAGGCATGTGAAGTGTTTTATTTTGACCATTTCTTAAGATTTTGCTTCCAATTTACATGCAGCATCCAAACATATCTTAATAAAGACAGTCTAGTCTTTCATAGATCATGTATCATCGAGGTCTGCAGAGTTTTCATTGTCATTTGCAACAAGAGCTTCTCTGTTCTCATAAGTCCAGAAGCCATTCAGATCGATTAGAATGGTGGTGACTGTGTCTCCTTGATTACTGTTGATTAAATCCTGAAGTGAGATTTTCAAAGGATCCTTTGGTTTTACCATGTCAAAGATTTCATCCTGCAAGAGAGGAAAAAAATACAATGATTCATTTAATTTCTATCATACACAGTGATCTGAAATTCAGGATTGTTTACATCTATAAAAGTACAGATAAATAAAACTAAGGGCTGCCACTTTTTCTTTTCCATTTAACAGAGAGAGAATCTCCTTTTCTCTACCTCCAATCACAGAATTGTACTGGAAAATTCCTTAGCTATGTGATAACTATCCATCATTTTATAGACAAAGAAACTGAGGCTCAGAGACTAATTTAATCCAAGCTTCGTAGCTAATTAGTGGCAGAACTATCTAACGCAGTGTGCTATGAATACATGCTAACTACCTCCTTATACTTTTCTGTTGCCTTTTAATTGGTGGTCAAACAAGTGTTTGCTTTTTTTTTTTTTTTAGTAAATACTCAGTTAAAGTAAACATTATTTATTTGAGATGGGGTCTTCTTGCTCTGTCCTGGCTGAGAGCAGTGACCCTATCATTACTCACTGCAGCTTCCAACTCCTGGGTTCAAGCTACCCTTCCAAGTATCTGAGACTACAGGCATATGCCACCATGTGTGGCTAGTTTTGTCTTTTTTTTTTTTTTTTTTTTTGTTGGAGTCTCACTCTGTCGCCCAGACTAGAGTGCAGTGGCCGCTCCCGGCCACTGCAGCCTTGACCTGCTGGGCTCCAGTGATCCTTCCGCCTCAGCCTTTCAAGTAGCCGGAATTACAGGCACGCGCTACCACGCCCGGCTGATTTTTTGATTTATTGCAGAGATGAGGTCTCGCTGCCCAGGCGGGTCTTGAACCCGCGGGCTCAGGTAATCCACTCACCTCAGCCTCCCAAAGATTACAGGCTGAGCCACCGAGCCTGGCTAGTTTTGTCATTTTATTGTAGAAATGGGGTCTTGCTATGTTGCTCAGGCTGGTCTCAAACACCTGGCCTCAAGCAATCCTCCCACCTTGACTGAATGTTTTTTCATAGCTGGTAAGTCTGATACTGAAATTCTAAGTAGCAGTATGCGTTTCAAACAGTGGTAGTTTTCATATTGATGGATCTGTATCTCCTTAAGTCTAATATAATATCAAAGTGAAGACACTCTTTGGAGTAGCAAACTAAAAAGGTACCCGAACCTAAATAGTTCCCAAGTTGAAAATTCAGTTTACAGTGGATTATACTGCCAAGGGATGAAGGCTATATAGATTCTCCTAATTTTCAATTAAAATGGATTTATGCTTCCAATGAAAACACAAGACTGACAATGCCAAAATTATAAACTACAGAAATCAATCATTAATCCAAATGTGGTCTCAGTTTCTAATGATGTAAATATCAATTCAGGCCGGGTACGGTGGCTCACGCCTATAATCCCAGCACTTTGGGAGGCCAAGGTGAGAGACTGCCTGAGTACATGGGTTCAAGACCAGCCTAGGAAAACTGGCGAGACCTTATCTCTACAATAAATCAAAAAAATTAGCCAGGCATGGTGGCGTGTGCCTGTAGTTCTAGCTACTTGGAAGGCTGAGGTGGAAGGATCACCTGAGCCTAGCTGGTTGAGGCTGTGGTGGCTGTTAGCATGTCACTGCACTCCAGCCTGGATCACAGAGTGAGACTCCAACCCCCCCCCCAAAAAAATATCAATTCAGAACAAATAACAGGAAATACGGTTTGGTACTTCACAGTTCATAAGTTGCTTTCATATAAAATTTCATGTAATACAAATGCTTGTCATAGTATTATCGTGGTAACATTAGCTTGTAATACGTAAATTCAAAGAAAAGGTAACCTTGACGTCTTGAAATGAAACAGGATCTTGTCCATGAATTTTCATGAGTTCCTGTATAGCCTGTATTTAGTGAAAATAAATCTGTAAATAAAAAATGAAATACACAATATACCTCCCTTGCCCCCAACCCCTTTATAGTTCTACTTCCTTTCCTGTCAGACTACAAACCTCGTCATCACAACCACTCTTGCCAGTCTTCTTAACTTCCTCGATCCTGTTCCACAACCATTTCAGTAAACCTAAACTCTGGATCAGTGTATTGACCTTTCCAGACCTATACCTTGGCTACTGAGAACGTTAGGGGGAAAAAACACTACAGCCAGGCACGGTGGCTCATGCCTGTAATCCCAGCGCTTTGGGAGGCTGAGGCAGAAGGAATGCTTGAGCCTAGGAGTTTGAGACCAGCCTGGGCAACATAGCAAAACCTCATCTCTACAAATGATCACCTGAGCCCAGGAGGTTGAGGCTGCTGTGAGCTATGATCATCATGATCAGGCCAGGGCCCTCCAGCCTGTGCAAGAGTCAAACCCCAACTCCAAAAAAAAAAAGCAACAAAGACTACATATTGCTGCTACTACATAGGAATGTCCTCTACCTAAATGGACCCTCACCATGGCCTTACAATTATGACCTGCTTCTCCCATTTTCCATGAATGATGTTCATATATTTGCCATCCTCTTAAGACTCCTAATATGCACCATCTCCCTTGCCTTCTTTGTAATAGAAAAAATGGAGATAGACCTCCCTCAAACTCTTCTCTTTGATAAACTAATTTTAAAAATGATTAAATAAACTGTCATACAGTAGTACTACAAAATACTTTAGATAAGAGTCATGAAATGTGAAGGTTAAAATTCTTGGTAA